TACACCTTGTTATCTCAGATTCTCCAGCATCTGCAGTTCCTACTATCTCTGAGTAAAGGTAATGACTGGACAATACACTTCATGTTGAGGTAATTTTGCTATCAGCTGTGCAGCCAGAAGAGAGAATTTCAGCTGGTGCAAAGAGCAAGGCTGCAAAATTACAATTCCTGTTTTGCTGCTTTTGGATGTAGTCATCAATCCAAGAGCAACTTTACCAACCGGTTGGATGGTTTTAACTGGTCATCTTTTTTGTTGGAGAATAGCAGTAAGACATTGAGATTGGAGTATGGAGGAACAAGCTTAATCGAAAGGAAGGAAATAAGAATGCAAGAATCTCTTGACGCAAAGATTCAAACCTTTTAAATTATGTAGACCACTGTTTAGTATTGCCTGGCTGTAGCGGCATTGACTTTTTATTCTCTAGCTCAATATTTATCAATGAGTAAATACTTACTAGAGATAAAGAAAAATAAACTTAATAATCAGTGCAGACCGTTTTGTATTTAAGTGCGCCATATGATTAAGCAGCTGTCATTTGGTAATTCTTTTTTAATGTCAACAAGCTAACTGGCCAATATTTCAGAATTATAATTTAAGTTCATGCCACAATTTAGAGCTGTTTGAGATTCTATCTCAAAGATCATACAAAGATGAAATTTTACTGCAGCCTACATGCTATTTAGAAATTGTAAGCCATTTTGATTATTTAAAATTTGTAGGTGTGTTACCATTTTAAATGAATACATATAATTAAAATAAGTTGGGTAAAATAAAAATAGTGGGAGAGCAAAAGAGCTAACAAAACAGTAAAATTTCTTCCATAGCCCCTATTATGTATGAACCTAACCTAATCTGTAGTCATAGTTTTCATCATTTTCAATGAGTTAGTATTTAATTAAGTTAATTAAATTCTAAAGCCTTTTTGTAAAGATCAAACAATAACAATTTTTAATTCTGTAAAATAATGGCATTGTACTGTTTTTCCTGATAAAAGCATTGATCTCATAGAGAGTGACTTTATAAGCTCAAAGTAAAAGTGTAAAATTTTAACATTGCTCATTTGGATGTGATCTGAGAGTACTCTTTTAGCTGTTTCAGATCTGAAGTAGTTTAACCTTTTACAAATATTTTTAATGTGTTCAACACTTATGTTTTCTATAGTTGATGTTTATGCATGTTGAAGAGATGCAGTTAATTTAAATAGTTACTGTACTGAAACACATTTTTTTTAAAAAAGGCACACTTTTTGACCTTTGGTATTCTAGTTCATAATTTTTGTGTATCCTATTGTTTCTCATATTTTTTCTCATTTAAAGTAAGCTAGAATTAAACATTTACCTGAATAATAGTCATGCAGATACTGTTGATCCAGTTTTGTTTCCTTTGTTGTTCATGGCCTCACTCTTAGACTGAAGAATTTAGAAAAGTGGTCTAAACTTCAGTTAAGCATCCATTGAAAACTTTGCTTTGTAAAATAATTCCACTGGAGAAATATCTGTTTAATCTAACAATTTCAGCAAAGCAGATTGGAAAATGCCTTGAGTCAGTAGTCATAAGGTGAGTTTCATCCTATCCTGTTCTGTCTGCTGTTCATGAGGCAACTGAGTACATTTGCTTATGAGCTGGATATGACTATTATAGGAAGTGGGTGGTGAAATGAAAAACTGTCTCCATGGTAAAAATTGAATGCTACAGTACTTTGTGCTTTGTTGTTTCATTGACCCCATTATGATTGTTGCATTTTTGTGTGGTAAATTCTCAACCACCAAGTATTATTTTTTGTCTATTATCCTCAGCACAATGCTCCAATTCCTCAGGGTGGTCGTGGTGCAATTCAGTTTGTAACACAGTATCAGCATTCCAGTGGACAAAGGCGAATCAGAGTTGCAACAATTGCCAGAAAGTAAGTGTAAAATACAGTGGCTGTACAGGTATTTTTGAAATTTCGCTTGAACTTCTATTGAAGAATTAGGTGTGCATCACTAATAGAATTTGACAAAGATTCAGACTTGCGTTTGTGAAAATGCAGATATGTTGCTTGGTTTAAATTTGGATGTTCTGATTTTTATAAAATTAATTCACAATTTTCATAACCTCTATTGCCTTTTATTCTTTGAATTTCCTTCTGAGATTCACTTACTGAAGGCGCAGCATCCTTGTGAAATTTCTCACTGTGTGCACCATGCATGTGTGATATCTTGTTTCTTTAATATCTCCTTTGTGTTATTCATGATACGTTAGTGCTACCTGTTTCTTTTTATCTGGTGATTTTCATCCATTTTGCTCTCTATGTTCTCCATTATATTTTTCTGCCTCTTTTATTTTTCCTCCCTAATTTCCTTGCATTTTATTTCTGTTGCCTTTTGTGTTTTTGTTCATTTTATTCATTTTTTCATTTAGTTGGTTGAATAGTCATGGGATTTATTGGTTTAATGATTTTGATCTATTCAAGAATGCACAGCATTGACTTAGTGAATGGTGAAATGAGCTTGATATGGACTGGCCTGATGTTTGATTGTCCTGAGATATGGGAGTGAACAGTGTGAGCGTTAGGAACAGTGGTGAAGGTGACTGCACATGAGCGAAGAAAAAGGTGAAGTGGGGGCAGGATAGAGCAGTGCCTGTTGATCCTGGAAGAAGATCTTGGGTAGCCACCAGGATGCTGACTCCTGAGGCAGGCTGATTGGATTGCCCACCTGGGATGGCTGGAACCTCTTACCAGTTGCTTTGAGCTGTTAACCCCTTGCCCATGCCTCTGGGCATTACTTTTTAAAACATTAGTGATGGCTTCAGCATTTAAAAAAAAAAGTGGGACTTTTTTAAAAAAAAGAGAACTTCAGATTATGACACTTAAACAGACCTTATCTTCCCTTTGAGAGCATTGGACTTCAAGCATTAACTCTGTTTCTCTCTCTACGGATGATGGACTAAGTACTTGATTGGCCACACATTTTATTGAGTATTGCTGTGACTGGATCCAAATAATTTTAGTTAGCTGAATTTCTGCAGGTCTGTCTTCACATTTTGTTGGCCAAAATTGGGTTTGCATTAACCCAGTGCTAGGTTTAACTGGCAGTGCTGAGTACTGGAATCCTGCCTGTGAGACTCGTGCCCTTCTCCTGCCCTTGCATCCATTGGCAGAAGTTATATGTAACTTCTGAATTCTGACTCTGTCCTCATTTTTAAAGGTACACTTAGTCTTCTGAATTTGGCAAAAATCCAACCCACAGAACAGGAAAGGCAGATGTGAGAGTGGACTGAGTATGAAGTACAAACAGGATTGGCTGATGTACATTAAGCATCATACAGAGTTAAATGGACTGGAAACAGTTAGATTGAGGCTGAATGATGGTGAAGGTCTGTTCTCACTCGGTCTGTGCGTCCATTCACGTTTTATAAAAGCCATTTTCCAAAATTACCAGTTTGCAGCTTAGCGTTAAGAACCAGCCAAGCAAGGTTGAATTGGACCAAGGAATGGGTGCAGATTGAGGACAAATAATTTATGTTTTAATCACTTTAAAACATTATAGATGCTGTAAGTAATTTAAGAACAAATTTCAGATATTCTGAGATGTTCTGAGCTTCCCCGTTGTTGAGAACTGGGATATTTATGCAACTTAGTGCTGTAAACTGGTGAAGAGGACTTATGCTAAATCTGGAACATAAAAGGCTAGTTGAATGGGAAAAAGATCTCTAAGAGACAGGCTCGGGTGGAATTTGAAGTCAGGTTGGAGAAAGAAATTGTAGTTTGATTCTGGAATTGAGGTAAAAAAGGTTGAAATCCTAAGTGAGGTAAACTATAGGATGTGGCTTGGGGGACTAGTCTGAAAAAACTGAGAACTCGATAGAATGCGCGTGTTTTATCGAGTATGGATTTGATTAGAAGTAAATAGTTCTAATCCAAGTTATCCATGATACATTTCTTTTATCAACCTATTCAATGCTCATATAACTCCTGCTCAGCCACTAGCATTTCAATTCTTTCCAGTGACGTATTGTATGCCCTCTGTTCTACATCTTGTATTTAATCTTGTATCAATGGCCCCTTAACAATACTGGAAAAAGCCTTTTGCACCTCTTCACAACTTTAATCACTTCTTCTCATACTTGCAGTTTTTGTTGCCTTAATTTAAAAGGGAACAATTTCTAAAGTCTTTCATTGTAATTGTGTTTATTCATAGCAGTCAACATTCTGGTGAATTTTCAATGATTGACAAAATTTGATATGTCACAATTTCAGGATCTAACGTGATATTTCAAATGTGGGACTTTTTTTCTGTCTAAGTTGGGTTATTTTGTAAATAGTGTAATAAAATGTCACAAAAATAGTTTGCAAGTTTATATTGTTCTGCCTCACCAATTACAATTTTGAGATTATGATTAAAGTGCATTGTTGGAAAATTGGATTTTCTTTTCGATTGACTGAAGGCGAGTAACTGTGAGGTTGGAATTTCAGAAGGAGGCTGAGATGGATCATGTCCTTGGAACTTCTGGCTGAAGATTACAGATGCGTCAGCTGTGCCTTTTTCACAGATGTTCTGAGCTTCCCCGTTGTTGAGAACTGGGATATTTATGAAACTGTCTCCTCATAGTTGCGTAGTTGTCCCCCTTCATTCACAATTGTACGTGGCAAGACTGCAGAACTTAGACCAGATCTGTTAGTTGTGAGATCACATAGCCCTAACTATAGCATGCTGCTTCTGATATTTGTAATGCAAGAAGTACTGTTTTGTAGCTTCCCTAGGTTATCACCCCATTTTCAGGTATGCCTGGCACTGCTCCTGTCATGCTTGTCTGAACTCTTCATTAAACCAGGATCATCAAGGTACATAGAATGCAATTCTGCTGCAGCTAATTATTCACAGCAGCTCATGGCTGCCCACTTTTGAGTTGGTAGATGTGTTTGAGATCTATTCGATTTGCCACAGTGTTAATGCCACACAACACATCGGAGGATATCCTCCGTGTAAAGACTGGCCTTTGTCATTACAAGGACTGTGTAGTGATCACTCCTACGAATATTGCTTCTAGATTGCTATAGAACCAATGTTTAAGAGTTATAGAGTCATAGAGCTGTACAGTATGGAAACAGATCCTTTGATCCAACTCGTCCATGCCAACCAGATATCCGACATTAATCTAGCCTCATTTGCCAGCATTTGGCCCATATCCCTCTTAAACCCTTCCTATTCATATACCCATCCAGATGCCTTTTTAAATGTTGTAATTGTACCAGCCTCCACCACTTCCTCTGGCAGCATATTCCGTATGCACACTACCTCATTTGTCCCTTTTTTAATCTTTCCCCCCTCACCTTAAACGTATGCCCTCTAGTTTTGGAATCCATTACCCTGGGGAAAAGACCCTGGCTATTCACTATATCTGTGCCCCTCATGATTTTATAAACTTCTAGAAGACTACCCTTCAGCCTCCAACGCTCCAGGAAAAGTAGCCCCAGCCTATTCAGCCTCACCGTACAGCTCAAAGCCTCCAACCCTGGCAATATGCTTGTGAATCTTTTCTAAACCCCTTCTAGTTTCACAACATTCTTCCTATAGCAGGGAGACCAAAATTGATTGGTTAGGCTACTTTTGGAATACTGCAATGTTCTATACAGCCTCAATATGACCTTCCAACTCCTGTACTCAATGCACTGACCAATAAAGGCACGTATACCAAATGCCACCTTCACTATCCTGTCTATCTGTGACTCTACTTTCAAGGAACTATGAACCTGCACTCCAATGCCTCTTTAGTCAGCAACATCCCCATTATACACATTAAGTATATAAGTCCTGCCCTGATTTACCTTTCCAAAATGCAGCACCTCATGTTTATCTAAATTAAACTGCATCTAACACTCCTTGGCCCATCGGCCCATCTGATCAAAGTCCTGTTGTACTCTGAGGTAACCCTCTTGGTTGTCCACTACACCACAAATTTTGGTGTCATCTGCAAACTTACTAACCATATGTTCACATCCAAAACATTTATATAAATGACAAAAGCAGTGGACCCAGCACCGATCCTTGTGACACACCGCTGGTCACAGGCCTCCAGTCTGAAAGGCAACGCTCCACCATCACCCTCTGACTCCAATCTTTGAGTCAGCTCTGTATCCAAATGGCTAGTTCTCCCGGTATTCCCTGTGATCTAACCTTGCTAACCAGTCTACAACGCAGAACCTTGTTGAATGCCTTACTGAAGTCCATATAGATCACCTCCACCGCTCTGCCTTCACCAGTCCTCTTAGTTATTACTTCAAAAAGCAATCATGTTAGTGAGACACAACTTCTGTCACACAAAGCCATATTGACTATCCCTAATCAGTTCTTGCCTTTCCAAATACGTGTAAATCCTGTCTCTCAGGATCCTCTCCAACAAGTGTCCCACCATCGATGACAAGCTCACCAGTCTTTAGTTTCCTGGCTTTTCCTTACCATCTTTCTTAAATAGTGGCACCACATTGGCCAACCTCCAGTGTTCTGGCTCCTTAACTATGGCTATCGATGGCACAACTATCTCAGCAAGGGGCCCAGCAATCACTACCCTAGCTTCCCATAAAGTTCTAGGGTACACTTGATCAGGTCCCAGGGACTTATTCACCTTCATGTGTTTTAAGATGTTGAGCACCACGTCCACTGTAATATGGAGGTTTTTCAAGATGTTGCTATTTATTTCCCCAAGTTCTGTAGCTTCCATATCCTTCTCCACATTAAACACTGATGCAAAATACTCATTAAGTACCTCCCCCATTTCCTGCAGTTCCACACATAAGCAGCCTTGCTGATCTTTTAAGGGGCCCTATTCTCTCCCTAGTTACCCTTTTGTCCGTAATGTATTTGTAGAATCCCTTTGGATTTTCCTTAACCCTATTTCCCAAAGCTACCTCATGTCCTATGT